TATATATAGAGAGAGAGAGAAAAGGTATATATATAGAGAGAGAGAGAAAGGTATATATATATATAGAGAGAGAAAGAAAGGTATATATATATAGAGAGAGAATATATATATATATAGAGAGAGAAAGGTATATATATATAGAGAGAGAAAGGTATATATATATATATATATATATATATAGAGAGAGAGAGAGAAGAAATATATATAGAAATATATATATATATATATATATATAGAGAGAGAGAGAGAAAGGTGTATATAGAGAGAGAGAGGTATATATATAGAGAGAGAGAAAGGTGTATATCTATATATAGAGAGAGAGAGAAAGGTGTATATCTATATATATAGAGAGAGAGAAAATGTATATATATATATATATAGAGAGAGAGAGAAATATATATAGAAAAATATATATATATATATATAGAGAGAGAGAGAGAAAGGTATATATATATATAGAGAGAGAGAAAGGTATATATATATATATATATATAGAGAGAGAGAGAAAGGTATATATATATATATATATATAGAGAGAGAGAGAGAGAGAGATAAAGGTATATATATATATAGAGAGAGAGATAAAGGTATATATATATATATATATATATAGAGAGAGAGAGAGATAACGATATATATGTGTGTGTGTGTGTGTCATTCATAAGAAATTGTACTAAAATTTCTGTACGTAAAGTTATTCCCCTATTGATGTCAGTATAGCTTAAGCAACTCAAAAAATAATGAGAAGTGGAAGAAAAAGAAAACCGTAAAATTAAACAATCTAATCTGCTCTTTCATTACGTCTTGAATAAGTCTATCAATTCTACCACATGTTTTTTTTTTCTCTTTTCTATTTACTGGAATATTTCATGAACAACTTAAGCAAGTTGATAACTAATTTTCGTTTGGTTTGTTTTTTTACGGCATATCAACCTCAAAGGGTTATTTAATGCCGACAAAAGTTTTATTGCTGGTAATATATTTTTTCAAAAGTGTATTGCTCGTAATATGTTTTTTTCTTCAAAAAATCTATTTCTGGTAATATTTTTTGTTTGAAAATTTATCGCTGGTAATATTTTTTCAAAAATGCATCTATTTCTAATATTTTTTTTTGAATAATGTACCGCTATTTTTTTTCAAAAATATTGTTGGTATTTTTTTTTTCAAATGTATTGCTTTTTTCAAAAATGTATTAATTTTTTTTTACAAAGTATTTCTGATATTTTTTTTTAACACTTTAATAATGTTTTGTCTACAGTTTGGGGGTTAACTATTTGCCCATAGCTGGGATCCTAACAGGTGCTACCACTCTGGGTCAGGGTGGAGCTGGGGACAGCAGAAATTAAGAGGTGGTTCTACGCTCCTCAACCTGATCAGAGGCCTTGCTGTTGGATGTAGTTTATCGTCTTACCCAGGACGCAACTAATTTTGACAGAAACATTAAGCAATCCGATTACTGGTCGAAATCCTAAGTTGTATACACTCAGTACAGTTGTACATTGCAAACGTGCATGTTTGTTCATTACTGTCTACAAACTTGACTCTCTAAAGCTCAATTCTCAATCCTGTCTGTATTTGCACCTGTGTAGAGAGGCAGGTGTATACTTTAAACGTATTTGATGTGTTTCAAGTTGGCGCCACCTAATTTTACCATTCCTTCAACAGATTGCATACATCTGCAGAGGACATTCCAATTGATTTATTTACGATTTTACAGGCACACGTGTTTGTACAGGTTGGGGGCGTATTTGTTTCATTTCCTCCCTTCACACAGATATCTGCTTCTCTCTTTCTCTCTCTTATGAAAAGGATAAACCTAGTCAGGCGCAAGGCTCGAAGTTTGGGGTACTCGGTCAGAATTTGTTTCTCAATAGTTACGTCCCTCTTGACTGTCTCGTTAACCAGCACGCCATATTAAATCTCCCTAGTCCAGTATTCTTCCTTTATGTGACGTGACCCTTAAAGACGTGGGTGATAATGGCTATCCAGAATCTATCCTTTGTAACTTTTAGTAATGCTTGTCTTTTTATTTTCTCTCTCACTTCCTGTTGAGCACAAGCTTGTTAAGTATAGCGTTTTTTCTCCGTCCCACTTGCCTACAAAGGATATGTAGTTATCCTGAATGGACACTACATCTTACTTATTATAAAACGCAGATTGTGTGTGTGTGTTTGTACGTTTATATATTGAATCGGATTTCCTACATTTTTCAACCGATTTCAACAAAACTTCACATGACTGCGTAAAATTACCTTGCGATGCTTCTAACAGCGCCAAAAATTGGAAAAACAATTGTTTTTGCACGAAATCAATTTGAAAACACGATAAAACATGATTCTGTCGTCAGAATGAAAGGGGGACAACTCATATCGAGTTATACTTATAAAACCCAGGTTGTTTGTGTGTGTGTGTGTTTGTTTATATATGGGATCGGATTTCCTACATTTTTCAACCGATTTCAACAAAACTCCACTTTTTTTGGCAGGTAGTGTTTCTTATTGTCTTGCACACTTTTTTCTTTATTTTTACATTCAGAATGCTTTAAAAATTCCATTTACAAGACAATTGCTTATAATAAAATTCTATTCAATCGATAGACTCATAAACATTGAAAACAATGTTTTTGTTTGAGTTTGGGTTTGACCAATTCGTAAAAAAAAAACAATTAAGACTTGCGTGTCCGTCAACTTTAAACAATAATCTTTGTCAATTTTATTTTTCAGTCTTTATGATGGTCGATACTTGATCTATCTCTTACTGTTACATCCCCGGGCAACGCCGGGCTCTACTGCTAGTTTTAAAATAAATTGTCACAGAAGTTTTGTTGAAGTGACTCGTTGTTGTTGTTGTCGTCGACGTCGTAGTAGTAGTAGCAATAACAATAATATGATGACGATTGTAGTGAATGAGAAAGTTAGACATTTTTGGCCCAATACGCTTTATGTTCAGGATATTATTTTTGTTTTAAATATTTATAAAATAAAAAGGATCGTGTTTTATTAGTTTTGGAGTGAGACGTGCAATTTAAGCCCAGGGATTATTTGGATGACGTGCTTTTCAGATTTAACTAAGTATTTTTTTTTCTTGGAAGATTATCAAAGTTGTTTGTAAAACTAAGTCAATGGAGCAGAGATTCCCGAGTTTGTAAATTTAATTTGTGAAGCCCAATTTGATTTGTGCTGCAGGTTTGGTAGGCATTTTCCACATTTCCCCTACACGAAAAAAAATATTCTTTTGAGGTTAAGTGAATGTCAGCGTAGACCGGGGGAGGGTCTAACTTTGCTCATTTGTCTTCATATATAACTAAATTCTATATCACTTCCAGACATAGACGATCATGGCTCTTCACACGTTCTTTACTTTTTATCTGTAAATTGCAATGTGTTTTGGGGAATGCCTCTGGAGTAGTTTCATGTTGCTTTCTCCACGTTTTGGAAATTTGGAGTTTTCATTCTTAAGAGATATGAATCCATCTTGCTATTTAACCCAAAGCTGGGAGGAGAAGAGATGGATTCATACCTTTTCACATTGTATTGGTGTGAAAGTGAACGCAACAGCTGTAATTTTAAATCAGCTTGCTTTGAACTAACTTGGATATACACATGTACACACGCCTAAAAAACGTTGATTGACTGATTTTGTTTAGCAACATATCAACCTCTATGGATTATTTAATGCTGAAATATAACTATTTTGAACACAATCTTATGGCTTCAACTACAGATAAAATGTATTCTTGGTAATTCTGCTATAAATAGGTATTGCTGGTAATTTCACTATAATTAGATATTACTGGTAATTTTACTATAGATAATGCTGGTAATTTTGCCACAAATAGTTATTGTTGGTAATTTTACTATAAATAGGTACTGTTGACAATTATATTTTTATATTTAAAAATATGTTGCTGGTATTTTTACTATAAAAATATATTTTTATGCTTTCATAGTCTTTTTTGTGTGTGTTCACTATTTGCCGATAACTGGGACCCTAACAGTTGTTACCACCCCGTTGATGGTAGACCTGGGAACAACAGCAATTAATGCTGAAATATAACTATTGTTAAACTATTGTTAAACGCTTCTCAAAAGCTCCAATCTCCCGATCAGAGACCTTGCTGCCAGATGTAGTTTATCGTCGTACCCAGGACTCCTTAAACAACGTATACTGGCTCTCACTAAGGAAAGAAAGTAAAAAAAAGAAAAAAGAAAAAAAGAGCGAACTTTTCCTTTATTTTATTTTCATATTTTTTGTTTATTTTTTTCATTGCTCTCCTTTCCCGATTTTTTTTTTCTCATTTCATTTTATTTTACTTTATTTCTTGCTATGTTGAATGACATTTTGACTGGGTGTCTTTTCTGCGACGAGACAAGTTTACCATTGACACTGACAATGGATCCTTCTCTTGAGGTCTCCGATCGTTTAGGGTTCTGCTTTTCTCTCTGTGTGTGTCTCTGTTTTCGCATCAGTGCCCCTTTACCTCTTTGCTTGACTCACCCCAAACCAATTAACAGAATTTGGTTGTACAGAGACTGTTAATTTGGACAGATGATTGCTGTGGGCCTTTGGAAGTAGCACTCAGATTTGACAGTCGCGTTGAGCACTTAAGAAGGACTTGCTGTTTGGCCACCCGCTCCCAATCTATTTTCAACTTGTTTTATATCTGCTTTTATTTATTTTTGCAGGGCAAGTGATTGGTTTAAAATTAAAAACGTTCTGTATGTATGCTAAGGATGTGATTACGTTTTTCATTTTCAAACTTTTGCTATTAAAGTATTTGTTGAATTTTCTCTTTTCTGAGTGTTAATTTTTTTTTTAATTTAGTAACCTTTATTTACTATTTACTTTTTACAGTATAACTGTGTTGTGACTTTAGCTAGTTTATACTAGTACCAGACAAATACAATGAGACGACTAGTATGGATTAACTTCACTTCACTTGTGAATTAGTTTCTGTTTACATCCTTTTTTACATCCCTCCCCACTCCCTGTCGCTCAGTATGCTTTTCTCTCCCCCTCCCTATCGTGTCCCTGCTTTTTCTCTTCCTCTTCCTTACCCGCCAGTCTATCGTTCTTTCTCCTTTTCTCTCAGCATCCCTATCATTTTGGGTGCCTTTTCTCCCCTCATCCCTGTCGTGTTTCTCTGCTTTTTCTCCCCGCTTCCTATCCTGTGCGTCTGCTTTTCTCCCCTTCCCTATCGTTCACTCTTCTTTCTCTCCCACCTCGCTATCGTTCTTTCTCTCCCACCTCCCCGTCGTTCATTCTCTCCCTCCTCCCCATCGTTCATTCTCTCCCACCTCCCTATCGTCCTCTCTGCTTTCCTATCGTGTTGTCTTTCCATCCTTCTCCTCCCTATCATTCTCCCTCCTTTTTCTCTCCACCTCCCTACCCTTCTCCCTCCTTTTTCTCTCCACCTCCCTATCCTTCTCCCTCTTTTTTCTCTCCACCTCCCTATCCTTCTCCCTGCCTTTTTCTCTCCACCTCCCTATCCTTCTCCCTGCCTTTTTCTCTCCACCTCCGTATCCTTCTCCCTGCCTTTTTCTCTCCACCTCCCTATCATTCTCCCTGCCTTTTTCTCTCCACCTCCCTATCATTCTCCCTGCCTTTTTCTCTCCACCTCCCTATCATTCTCCCTGCCTTTCCTCTCCCTTAGACCTTATCGTTCTCTCTGCCTTTTAATCGCTTCCACTCCCTATCGTTCAATCTGCGTTTTTGACATCCTTATTGTTCTCTCTAAATTTTATCTCACCTATACATTTCCCTAACGCTTTATCCCTCTCCTCCGGCTACTCTCTTATTGTTTCACCTGGTATAATTCCAGATTTTCCCTTTTCCTTTCTTCATCTTATAGACTTCACTCTTCACATTCTCTCTTTCTCTCCTTGGCTCATTGGCTGTCCTCCTCTTACTCTCCTCTCTCCTTTTTCTTCATTTTCAACTACTCTTTCTTTCCTCATTTTTTTCATCAGTTCTCTCTCTCTCCTTCTCGCTTATTCCTTCTCTTTACCGATTCAATTACGTCTGTCTCTATTCAGATGCTGTCAGTGCAGGACCACACCCTGTAATTCGGGAGTGTAATGAGAGCCTTGACAGCCTGCAGTTGCATGAGTGCAGAAAGGAAATAAACAAATGAAAGCAAACTGCCAATCTGGTGATGTAATATTATTGCCAATTACATGATAAGGGTGCCGCTAACAATCTATTTTTTTACCTTCTGTACAACTAGCGTCGTAAAATCATCTTGCTCAAAAGTAATAATAATAATCACTTTCGTACCTATAACATTTGGAACAAACGAGAAATCTCTTTACTTTTTTTTTTTTTTTTTTTTTACTGAGAAGTGATTTTTTCCCTTTGCGATTTTTTTTTCTCCTTCCCTTGACTTTGATTTCACGGTAAAGTGTTAAACGCATCTTTCGTTCATCTTATTGTTTTGAGAATGTGGAATGCAAAACCACTTATCAGATTGAGTTACTTGTAAGCGAATTGGGCTACGTTTGAAAGTCAAGCGATGCTAAATTTTGAATTGACGTTCTTTTTAGTAGCTCAACTGAACCCAGCTTTCCCTTAGCTAATGGTAAAACTAGCCGTTTCGTTATAAAGGAAATATCCAGCATTCATTGACCAACCCGTCAGTGCAACTCTAGTAACGCTATTCTTCTGTCCTTGGACATCGAGCTGGGATCAAAGTGTAGTATATGTTCCAAACATCTCTGATGGTAATGTTAGTCGTTTTCTTATAAGGAAACATTCGGCATATATTGATATATTTTTTCAGGAAAGTGATACTTATTCTGTAAAATACACAGAAATGTGGCACATGTCCGAAAAGGGGATTGGGGAAAGGACGGTCTTGTTCTGTCTTAACTATAACATAGCTAGCCGCAAACACTGACCCAATCGTACGAACAATATTCCTTACACCAAAACAACACATTCATACGCACCTTTCTTACTACAATTACCATAATACCTCATTGTCTCTATGAAAATACTAACTAGTCCCCATGGAGAAATAAAACAACAATTCTAAAAACTAGCGCCAATGAGTATTTACAATATGAATACAAACACTTTTTCAGGAAAGTATGTTTCTCGATTCTAGAATCTACTATCACTTTTTGCGATATTGAGAAGGACCTTTACTTCCGGCCTTTCTGTTTGAAGTATTGTGATATTGATATCCTGATTGTCATTATTTTCTCTTCGATTCACATGATATTACACCACCCGCACCCATCCTGGGTATGACGATAAACTACATCCGCGTCCAGAATAAGACGATAAAATACTTCCAACAACAAGGACTCTGATCAGGAGGTTTTGAGGAGCATGAAACTAAATCTTAATTGCTGGTGTTCCCAGGTCCACCCTGACCCGGGGTAGTAGCACCTGTTAGGGTTCCAGTTTTGGGCAAATAGTTAACCCAAAACTGAGGTAAAAACCATTATAAAAGTGTAAAAATAGGTTTTAATACTAGAAATACTTTGTAAAAACATTATTGCCAGAAATACATTTTTGAAGAAAAAAATTATTACCAGCAATATATTTGTGAAAAAAAATTATTACCAGCAATACATTTTTGAAAAAGAAAATATTACCAGCAATACATTTTTGAAAAAGAAAATATTACCAGCAATACATTTTTTTAAAATAATATTACCAGTTATACATTTTTGAGGGAAAAATATTACCAGAAATAGATTTTTGACAAATCAAAATATTACCTGGGGAAAAAAAAGTTGTCGGCATAAAATAACCCATTGAGGTTTTGATATGCCGTAAAACACAAGAAACCAAACGGTCGAATCACGCTGAAACACCGGTTCTCGCACGATCACCGAAGTTAAGCAGCGTAGAGCCAGGTCAGTACTTAGATGGGGGACCGCTTGGGAACACCTGGTACTGTAAGCCCCCAAAGTCCAACCCCTACCCCAGTCGGTGGTGGGGGGTAGTGTCAGAGCTATGCCGCCCGGAACTTCGTTCCTGGTAGGGCCACCCAAGGCGGACAGGTCTGACACACACGCCGGCTAACAAGGGCTCTGGTGAAAATCCAATCCTGCATCGGTAACCGGCGGCCTCTGGTCGTTCCTGTCTCTGCGTCTGTGGGAATCCCGCGGCAAGCAAGAACGTTATCCGAGTAGGCCTGGGTACCCTACTTCTGTAATTTATCCCAAGAATCTTCTTCTCATAACAGGAAGAAGCCGGCTCAATCCGCCCAGGGTGAATGCCGCATCAGTACAGTACAGTAAACCAAACACCACCCGCATGTTCACGCTTACGGTACCTGTTATTCCCAAGTGGTCACCCATCTAGGTACTGACCAGTCTCGATGTTGCTTTACTTTGGTGATCGTACAAGAATCGGGGTTTCAACGTGAATAAGACTAGGACATTTGTTCGAATGGAAATAATGTAAACACTGATAATTTCTCATCCCAGAATTTCTTACCAAGTCTATTTAAAAAAAAAACAAAAAAAAAAACATTAATTCATTTTAGGCGGGAAATGTCCATGTGAGGCGGTCAGCCTCAAATAACTGTTTCTTTAGTAAACATATATAAAGAAAACAACCATATGTTCTTTGGGTATTTTTACAAAGAATTTTTTTATTTTTTTTCATGCAACTAATTTTTGCTTTCAGCTTACCCTCCTGACTTCTTAACTTTAACTCTTCATAAACCCATTTTTGTTAATACTCTTTTTAGATACTTGCATGGAAATACTCTTTGTTGTAAAGGCGTAGAGTGTTTGTTCTCGGCTAGGTTGTATTTTATAAGCATGTGAACAGTTATTTGAAAATGGACACTATCATGCGATAAGTGTCATACACCAAAGTATTTTTATACTCTTATTTTACTGGGAGGAAGTGTTTTAACAGATATTAGAACGTTTGACACTGAAATCCGAAGGCGTATTAGGTTAGCGAAAGATTAATTTCAAAAGCTAAGCAGAGTACTAAGAAATAGAAAAAACTTCGCTAGAAACAAGGAAAGGAGTACTAAACTGTTACCTGATACCTGTTCTTCGGTATGGCAGTGAGTACTGGACAAATTCCTCAAAGATGAAGAAGAAACTTGAAGCAAGGGAAATGTCGTTCTACAGATGGATACTGAGGATTCCATGGACGGAACATGTGAGAAAAGACGTTTTAGAGAAAATGGAAACAAAAAGGAAACATCAGGAAGAGACAGTTGAAATTTCTAGCGCACATAATGAGGAAAGAGAGCTTGGAAAATCTAATACTCACAGGACAGATTAAAGGCAAGAGGAACAGAGCAAAACGCACATCCTACCTAGTGAGCTTGAGTAAACTGATGGCGGAACAGGGTTTAGGAGAAATAACAAAGACAAAATTTATTAATAGCTATAAAGGATGGGAAGTTGTGGAGAGCCATGATCGCAAACGTCCCGAGGAAACACAGTACATAAAGGAGAGTTTACTGGAGAGGTAATGAGCAATGTCACGAGAAAACATTGTTCAACGAGCATAGGATTGAGTAAGTAACATTTTTTTTAAGCATGGAGGACGATCATGACTCTCGACAATCTATCACTTATAGCACTTTGTAACGTTTTCCCTTTTGCCATCAATCACACACACTCTGCTCCACCATTTATTCATTCACCCGCATCAGCTAGGAGATCTGCTGCCTTTCTCTGTCTATTTTCCTTTTAATATGTTACGTGTGTGTCAAATTATCCAAGCGTTATATCCTCAACATGTCTCCCAAAAATTTCATCTGTTTCCATGATTCTAGGTGTCCTTTTTGTTTGTATTTTCTTTGTGAGAAGTTCTTCGTTGCTTACGCGCTTCGTCCCTTCTATTCTTAGCATTATTCGGTAGAGACCTCCTTCAGTTGATGCTAACCTCCAGGGGAGTGACCTGTTACGCCGCCTTAGGCTAATATTCTCGGCTGACATGAACTGGAAAGACTACATTGAATCCATTGCTAGGTCAGCCCTGTGTCTTGCTATACAATTTTTCTCTCCAGAATCTATCTAAGATATCTTTAAGTCCATGCTTAGAATATTGATGCCACATATGATCCGGTGCGCCTGTTATATATTTTTAGAGATTCCGGATAAAATTCAAGGAATAATCAACAATATTCTTGATCCTTGCCTGGCGTCTTGGCGTCAGTCACTTTCCCGCAGGCGTAAAGTTGCTTCCCTGTGCCTTTTCTATGAATTCTTTCATGGTAATTATTCAGATGAGCTCTTCGCTATGGCACCTACGAATTTAAGCGCAGTACTATATTGGCAACAACGTCTAATCAATTTACAATTGAATTGGTTAAATGTAACAGTAAGTTCTATGCTAACAGTTTCTTTTCTCGCATTTCTTGCTCGTGGAATACTCTTCCGGATTCATTTTTTTCCAGGTAAATTTGTCGTCCTGGGTAAGATGATAAACTACATCCACCGGCAAGGCCTCTGATCGGGAGGTTTTGAGGAAGCGTGGAACCGACTCTTAATTGCTGGTATTCTCAGGTCCACCCTGACCCTGGGTAGTAGCACCTGTTAGGGTCCCAGCTATGGGCAAATAATGAACTGCCAGTTTTTCCCCATCATATATCCGCGTCCTGGGTATGGCGATAAACTACATCCGCGTCCTGGGTATGGCAATAAACTACGCCCAAAAAATAATGTTGCCAGCTATATGTTTACTAGTACTATATATATATATATATATATATATATATATATATATATATATATATATATATATATATATATAACTAAATTTGGCATTAAATGACCTACAGTTGTTGATATTCCATAAAACCCAACCAACCAGCTAACTTTGATCTTCAAAAACTTAAATGCGATGTCAATTGCTGTTTACTGTTTTTCTTGGTAATCGTTCTCAATCCTTAGTAATGTTTCCGCTTCCTAATGCTTTCACACCCAGTAACCTCCTGTGTCTTAGTGGCTTTACTGCCTTGCTTGGGTTAAATCCTATATTAAAAAGAAATTAATCTCTGGTGCCTCCAGTCTACTCTTTGTCTTTGAGGTAATTGTCCAGCATTCAATGTCATAGAAGAGGGTTTATATGACATCAAGAAGTTCAGCATTCTTTTTCTTTGTTTTGTCTGTGTATTTTGGAATCATTAAACATTTTAACAGACGTACGTTACACAAATCCCACCTTTTCTCCTTTTTTTTTTTTTTTGTTTTTAAACATTTTGATTTTTGCTCGTTAGAAATCTATATTCTACTTCTGCATTTAAATTAAAAATAAAATCAATTAAAGTGAATCTTTACCTAATGTAGGGAATAAATGTTCTAAAACCTACATAAATATTTATTGAAAATATAATTTGTCTTACAAAAAGTGTTTTAATTTTTGGTTTTCATTTTTGTCTTAGTATTAAAATCAGTCTACATCACGTTAAGAACAAGTAGTCAAAAACGTTTTTTTTTTCTTTTTTCTAAGAAAACTTGCTGGTGTTTAAAATTGTATTTGAAGTTAATCCTATCACTTTTCAACATTCTTGTTTGCGAAGGGGATTTTAAATTGTTATCGTGTTTTTATTTAATTCTTTTTTATATTCTTCATATCTGGTTTGTTTGTTTTTTGGGCGCCATTTTCTTTATTTATAACAAGCTTTTAACATTTTCGACAAAAAGAGGAAGCGTTAAGACTTCCATTTTAAAGAATGACGTCGTTTTCTTTCTTCGCGATAATACGATTGTTTGTTTTTTCCTCCTTCTGATTCAAGTTTAATTGAACAAAGTTTCTTCCATTTTTAAGAATTCTCGAACAAAACAATAACGTATGAGACACGATTAGTGGAGGGGGGGGGGTAAAAATGGTATTGTTACAAATTCAATCTCTCATTTGTATGTAGGTGGTCACAAGCAAACAAGCTACAAAGTAGACAAATAAAAATGGGAGAAGAAAACAATATTTTCTTATCTGCCACTTTTCAAAGAGAGAAAAAAAAATCATTTAAAAAATCTAACAATATTGCCTTTGTTATGCCGAAAAGAAAAAATGTTCCCAAGAACTTATTTCTTGTTTATCCTTAAAGCCAATATATCACAGAAATCAAGACTTCCTTTCACAAAACTAAGCCCATATTTGCAATAGAAAACTTATGATTCAGGTGACTATTTGAACATTTCTGTATCAGACATGAGTGAACAAAGTAATAAGCTATTTTATATTTGACTCACCAGTTTGAATCGAACTTGTTTTTTTTTCTTTTTCATACTATATTTTCACCCAGTACAAGGCCCAAGAGTCACTCAAAGTAGATGATCACTAATGCACATCAGACGAAGAGATAAGAAGTGCAGTTTATCGCAATATGTTGGAAATATAACGGTTAACCGTAGACCTAAAAAGCTTAGGATTGTAGTGATCGGAGAAGAATCCTTACGGGAGTCTTTCACAAAACAGCGATTCTTTCTTAAGACGCTGCCCGAATGGAAACTCCTCCTTACCAATGGAATACGAAGGGTTGATTGATCGGTTAATTTGATTTCTTTTTTTATGACTTATCAACCCTTTGAGCCTTATTTAAATCCGAAACACATTTTGGATTGTATGGATAATTTTCATTTCGTTTTTTTGTGAGTGAATATCATCAAATTTTTGAGAATAACAATGTCTTTCCATTTACCGTATATACTGCTGTATAAACCGATTTCATGTATAGTACAAACCCTAAATGTTATTGAATGAATTTTAGTCACCCCCCCCCAAAAAAAAAAATTAATTGTGTATATTTCAAACGGTCCCGGAAAATACGTAATTTTGAACCTCTTCAAAAAAAATTACCTGTGTATAGTGCGAACCTATATTTTTTGCGTAAAAGATCGATCATAAAAACTCACCCTATACTCGTGTGTGTGTGTGTATATATATATATATATATATATATATATATATATATATATATATATATATATATATGTTTCTACTATTTAATGCATACATGGGGGGAAAGAGATGGAATCATATATTTCCCAAGGGTATTTGCGCGGAAGTGAATGTATGTACCTAACTGGAATTCGAACTCTTCTCTCTCATTTCTCATTCCGAGACCTTATCTATTAAAACCGCACAGCCTTGTATAGCGTAAACTTGATTTTAATAAAATTAAAATTTAATTAATACCTCAGGAGCAGTGGACGTACTTATACGTATTTACAAAACTTACATTGCTTTCCACGCACACGCCTAAATAAATATATATATATATATATATATATATATATATATATATATATATATATATATAGTAAAGGTAATAAATCCGTTGTTATATAGTCCAAGTGGATCCTAGTAATATAAAATATTAGAACTGATCCACAAAAAGAGCTCAATATATTATACAGAGCAATTAAATACTAGTAAAGCATAAAATCCAAAA